TTAAACCTCCCCCTCCCCCCAGAACGTCTTGAAACTCATCGGGCGTGAGGTGTTTCTGCAGGGTTGTGAGGCCGCCGCGGTAGGAGTAATCTTAACGGGGGGGGGTGGGGGAGTGTTAGTTACTCTGATCAAAGAAAGAGTTTGAGGTGGCCAAAGCAGAGGAGAGGGACAAGTTAACAGACCACAATGCATCACCCCCGCCGGCGCAAGCGCTCTGTGACGAGCCTTTCCGATTTCGTCGAGTTGATCCCTGACGCCGCTCGTCGAACCTGACCTGCGAAACTGTTGTGTTGTCAGGAGAGTCCAACCAGAGCCTTGAGGAGACGCACTCGCCAGTCGATACAGAGGGCCCGTGGTGCGTTTAGCGCCTGCATGGCAAGGTGAGTTGTCTCTTCGAGGTACGCGCCGACTTCGGGCCTGTTCCTGAAGTCTTCAAACATGTCAGCTCGGAGACGGGACGCGGAGGGCTGGCGGTGAAGCTGGAAGCCGCAGGCTGGCAGGAGGAATTGCTCTGTTGTGCTGCTGTGGCGCAGGTCGTTGATTTCGATGCCGGGCACGTCTTCGTAGACGCAGTTGGTTTTCGGGCCGACGTCTTCGGGGAAGCCATAGAGGGTGTAGGGCTGTTCCTCGTCGTAGACGGGCAGGTCGGCCAAGAACCTCAGTGTTGCTCGCATTGTGGGTGAGAGGCGGCTGGTTTGAGATGGAGTGTGCACACGGGATTTGGAGGTGGTAGATGGGGTCCGTTTGGTTGAGATAGAGAGGACCGATATGCGCCTTACATTCATCGAAGGAAGGCTTCTGTGTGCGGAGATGTTGATGGTTATATCACTGCCATGAAAGTCACGATTATTGATGCGTACATGCGAGGCATCGTAGCTGCGTATTCCTTGTCCAAGGTAGTGTGGGTGCGACGTCACAACATGCATCCATTTTTACGACACAACCTCCCTCCTTCCTATCTAGAACATCCCCGCTTAATTCACCTCCGTACACCCGTCTTCCTCCGCATCTTTAACATTAACCCCATTTTCAAGCGCCAGACTTCATGTCGACCATATCCAGCAACCTCAGAGTCCCATGCATATCCACAGAGTCAGTAAGGCGGACGAGAAGCTGGTCATTGTCGTCCCGAAAAGCTGAACGTTGCCTGTGAGAACAAGTACGACCTATCAACAGTGCCAAGATGACATACCATTCCCGTATGCTTCGTTCCAGCCTTTGACACCTGCCTCAGCTGCAGGATCGGCCACAAGCTGCTTCCACGGCTGTCTCTTCGTTGTCTCCAACTGGGGAATCAGGAGCACAGGGTGTTTTCTCCCGAGAAGGGGCAGTGGTCCTTCTGGCATGCCCATTTTCCTAGAGTTGTGGCACGTCTGTACGTTGAGAGTTTGTTCTGATGTAGTAAGTGTTCTGTTCTGTTCGAGAGGGGGTTGCGAGAAGTCGCGCCTTTTAACTCGGTATAGACCTCGCTCGATTCAACTTTTCTTGTTTCTTGAGCACTGCCACCCACTTACCCCTCTTATCCAGAGGATGTGTGTTGGGTGTGGATGGCATCCGATTTCTCCGGGTGCTCATCTGGTGTGTGTCCAACCTCATTTTACAACATGTGCATAGGATGCTATCTCGTCGGTCTCCGTATCCCCGATTGGACAGGGCACCGCAAAGCCCCTCACCCACTTTGTGCACGACATAACTTGGACTTGCGTTGGTATGTGTTTCTTGGACGGGAGCCTCTAGGCAGCAGAATCCTTCGTCGATCTTTCCCACATCCTCCCCATGTTCCAGCTGATTGATCTCCGTGGACGTCCCCAAAGCGTTGAAGACGTCTCGTCCTGGTGTTCCGAAGAAGGCGTGAATGGCATCCCGGCATGTCGTTCAAAATATATGGACAAGATGCTGCGGGAGATTCTTCCCCAAGACCTTCTGCTCTCCCGACGACCACTCAAAAGACCACACGTCCAACGTCTCACTCATTCCAATACCAAGAACTAGAAAGTCTACCCAGTGCGGTTCGCATGCTCAGGGTCCACCCGTTTATATCCTCACCAGACGAACCCCTAAAAGCGGATCTTGTACACACCCGTTTGGGCGCAGAAAATCACAACTTCATCGCCTTGTCGTATTGCTGGGGAAACTCACCCACGGAGCGACCAATTTCCCTCAATGTATGTCTCCAAGGTTGAGCTTACAACAATAAAGAGCGTTGACTTGGGCATTTTTCTTTCCACTCTTCTCCAGTTCATGGTCTCAAACACAATGAAACTAACATAATAAACCGCATGGCTTCTAGGGCGAGACCTTCTTCATAACAGAAAGCCTGTGGAGCGCGTTGATGTCTCTGCGCCCCAGGCCCGGCGAGGAACCAATCATGACGTGGGCAGATGCGGTCTGTATAAACCAACAGAACCTCCCGGAGCGAAACAGGCAGGTTCAGCGCATGACGGAAATCTATGGGCAAGCAGAATACGTAGCCGTCCACCTGGGCCCGGAGACGGACAGCACTGCGTTGGCCTTGACCCAGCTCCAAGCCCTAGCAGACTCGCAAGACTCCATTGCAAGTATGATAGCCAACACGACCAAACAAGATGACCTCCACCACCGGTGGCAGGCTCTGATCGACTTCCTCGCCTTAGACTACTGGCACCGCTTGTGGATCGTGCAAGAAATCATGCTAGCCCGCTCCGCCGTCATCTACTGTGGCTCACAGGTGATACCCTGGGCCACATACCGAGACGCCATCGCGGGACTCACCCGCCACTCCGAGCTCCTGCTCAAGTTTCACTCTATCGATGAGTACCCCGTACCGAGGATGAACCGGACTTGGTACGGGATCATCGCAGCACATATGGAGTCACAACTCGACCCTAAGGGCAGCAACAACAGAAGCAGCAGCACGACGGACTTTCTCAGCCTGATGGAAAGCCATCGGTACCGCAAGTGTGTCGAGCCCAAAGACAAGATCTACGGCATGCTTGGACTGGTTTCTGCCGAGCAGCGCCAGTTGGTGACAGTGGACTACGCCGCTTCCTTGACGGAAGTCTTTACGAGTTTCGTCGGGAGCGTAATCCAGAACACGCAGCGGCTGGATATCATCTGTTTCACGCGGCATTCGCCCGTGTACGAGCGCCCGGATCGGCTGCCGACTTGGGTTCCTGACTGGGCGTATCAGAGGGAGACGTTGCCGATTCGTGCAAGCGCAGCGGTGCGATTTGATGCGTCGCGGGGTCGGCGGGCGGAGAGCGGAATAACGGGTGCTGGGTTCAAGCTTTCTTTTCGCGGCGTGAGGATGGATACAATCGGGTTGTGCTCGGTGACGTGCAGTCTGCCCTGGAACGGGGGTGGGTTGCTCCTGGCTTTGGCATCCGCTTGGATGATGGCACGCGGAGCGCTGGGGAACGAAACTGACACAGCGGAGCGGTTTTGTGAGGCTGTCTTCTTTGGGAGTGGGCGGAAGCAATTCGGCGCTGAGCATGTTGGCAGGATGTTCCAGACCTTTCGAGATTACCAGCAGATGATGATGGATTCGAGCTTCCTACCGCTTGACTCGGGGGTTTTCAGCACCACTGTCACAGCGGTTGATCAGAGTGTCGACAAGGCGACGAGCCGTGCCATCTGGTCTCTGGCGGGAAACTGTCTTGCTGGGCGCCGAGCTTTTGTTACCCGCCAGCAAGCGTTGCTCGGGGTGGGCTCTGGGTATCTCGGGAATAATGACGTGGTCTGTGTCCCACTGGGCTGTGACACGCCCGTTGTCTTGCGAGCACTCGGAAACGGAGAATATCGATTCGTTGGCGATGCCTATGTGTGTGGTTATATGGGAGGGAGAGCCATGTCGGAGCTTGACGAGCGACAAAAAGAACTGGAGGAGTTTGTCGTTGTATGATGCTGGATTCTACTCAGATCGTTGAATACTGTCCAATCCCCCAATTCTCTGTTCTGATCGCTGGAAGAAGAAGGGCTCGAAAGAGCGCCTGCATGGGAGAAGGTGCGCAGACCACAGGATTCGGCGTGAGGTGGCTTGCACGACCTTGGGCCGCATATTCCACAGGTTCAGGCAGAACACGGAGCAGAGGCCGTCGCCAGGAGCATGTCTTCATCGCCTTGGGCCGCATTCGTCGTGACGAGAACGCTTTCTGGAGTCTTGCGCCGCACAATATCTCCATGATACTCTCTCTTATTATCAAAAAAAGAAGGCGGAGGCTCTGCGGACCGCAGAGATGATCAGCCGGCTACCAGGGATCGAAGGGCATCTTGTGCGTTTGGAGCGGGCAGCGACATTCCAGACCATATAAACACACATATATACTGTTTCAAGTGATTGAAAAGGAGCTTTCCTTCTTCAATGCAGGTATGACACTATTGAGTCTTCATGAATGCATTCTCCCTGGGTACCTATCCCGTATTAACTTTCCCATAAGGTAGCATAGTGTGTAAAAGCAGCGTGGAGCCACAACCGTTGCGAGGTCTCAGATAAATCTCGACAAGACATATAAACAAAGTTGAAGAGCACAGATGACACTTCACACAGACATGAGGACGATATTGGAGTCCCATGAGAGTTATTCTCGGTCATAGAAGTTGTCAAGGTGGTAAACCACAGACTGCATGGCATAGGTACCCGTCGCACCTTGCTTGTCTAACGAGGGCCGCAGGAGACTCGCACCTGCCCGAAGAGTTTCTCCAGCACCCACCGATTCAAAACATCTTTTCATTGGGGCGCCTGCCATTTTCTCTGCCTTGGTGGCTTTCGTGGGTGGTTTGTTTCTTCGCGGTCCCAGCCATCTTTGCATCTCCCGATATTTTTGTCTGCTGGCTCTGTCCTTCTCCTGCGCCATCTCGAAAAAATGGCAAGGTCGCCTCAAATAACACCAGGGTTGTAAGATTAAGGGTAGACTCAGCTCGCCACAATCTGCCTCTGCTAAGAGGGCACCTCACACTGGCAGAACTGGGTAGGAGCCGGTATATGTAATTTGATTGGGTAGCTGATCTGCAATAATCAGGAACTGCTCATGGTGCAATTGGTTAGCACGCCAACTTCCTGGCTTCACCCTCCTTCCACCTCATGCACAGCGGGAGGCGACTAGGCTAGTTGGAGGCCCTCGTTCGAAACGAGAACGGGCAGAACTGTAGATTATATTTGCCGATTTATCTCGGAAGAGTCAGGCTCTTTCTAAGTCGAAACCGCGCGAGCAAGGGAGCTCCCTTTGCTCCTACACAGAATTACGATGTACCTACGAAGCTTTTCCCTCCTATTTCTTGCCGTTGCATGTACTAATAAATGCAGCGTGAGACGCGTGTTATGTACCTAGTGGAGCTGGGAGCAAAGTCGCAACAAGCAGAATTGCCTGTTCTTTAATCATGACGGGGATGTGCAACTCATTCCTAGCAACCTACCTACTCATCCACACACACCCAACCAATCCATGATCAGCTTGGTCTGCCCGTGTTTAAGGTTCTTGCCATTTCAATCGTCGTTCTCTTCGCCTTGCCTCAGCAACATGCAGCTACCTGGGAAATGGGACGACACCGAGCCTCTATACAGACTTCTGATAAGGATATTTATACCGGGGGGGATATGGTCGAGACGCCTAATATGCTTTTGAGAGGGTTGGATTACCCGGATAAGAACAAAATGCTGGCGTTGGCCGGGCCGGCGAACAGGCAGGGGAGATTGGCGGCGGATCATATTTGTGGGAAGGAGACAAAGTACAGAGGCAACATCGGGACGTGGGCTTGCAAGGTGTTCGGCAAGGCGATTGGGATGACGGGGCTGAGCTGTCATCAGCTTGATGAGGTGATGGGGAAGGAGGGAAGGCATGACTGGGTGACGGTTCATCCTGTGAATCACGCTGGGTACTATCCTGGGTCCTGCCGGTTGACGGTCAAGATCCATTTCGACCTCAAGAATGGCAAGTCGTTGGGGGGTCAGGTGACGGGGCCGGAGAATGCTGGGGTCGACAAGCAGACTGATGTGTTGGCTGTTGCGTTGACTGCTGGGATGACAGTGGAGGACTTGGAGCATTTGGAGTTGGCGTATGCACCACCTTTTGGAAGCGCAAAGGATGCTGTCAACATGGCTGGGTTTGTGGCTGGGAATGTTCTGAGGGGAGACGTAGAGATTGTTCATGCTGCCGACTTTGCTTTTGAGACGTCAAAAGGGAGGAGGAGAAATCTGGCGGATTACTTTGTGCTGAATGTCCGGTCGCCCAAAGAGTTCGAGAACGGACATATCGATGGTGCTATCAACATTCCACTGGGTGATTTGAGGAAAAGGTTAGATGAGGTGCCTAAGGACAAGCCGATAATCGACAACTGCCAGGTCGGATACAGAGGCTACCTTGGTTACAGGATTTTGAAACAGGACGGGTATGACGCAGTGAACCTGGATGGAGGTTATCGAGCTGTCTTTGAGGGCGGCTTTGATGATTGGCTGAAGCCTGTCATTAAGAGATGGGCACCAAACTAGCGGCATTGTTGGACACGGCAACGATGAAAAAGTTGGATAATTATCTCGCCAAGCCTCACCGGTACTTTCTTGAACACCGCAAGTATTCCTGATATCCACATTGCAACGAGCGTAGCCGGGTGAAGAATATGCATCGTGTCGCATTCAATGTAATTCTGTAAGCCATTACCCAGCTACAAGCCCAACTCCATCACCAAAAACAAACCAGCTAAACCGATCCCATGCGTGCTGCCACCCAACCTCCGTCGCCATCTTCCCGCCAGCCTCGTCATTCAGGTCTCTCGATGCTATTATCCCCCCATTATCAATATTCCATTCTTCTGCTAACTCATCCCCGCACGGTCGTGATCCCTTAGGACTGAGTCAAAGTCTCATACCCATTCCTGTTGTTATGAGCTTGACGGTTCGAGAAGACGTAGTAAACAATCATGCCGACGATCGGGAAAAGGAAGACAACAAGGCACCAGAGGAGCTTGGACGAGGGTGGTCTGTTAGACTGGAGGACCTCGACTGTTGTGCTGTTAGCATGCCATTATTTGACCAAACCCAAAGGAGGACGACGTACTGAAGACGATAACATCCAGAATCAAAACGATAAGACCAATAATCCCACCGCCGGTACCATACTGCCACGCGTTACCACCCTCAGTGTGAACTGTGTCAACCGGCGCAGCGAGCGCAAAGGTCGCGAACCAGCAGAGCTGGGCGAGGAGGGTCGAGAAGAGTGTGTTGGAGATCATTCTTGCTTGCTTATGAGCGATGATGTTCGGTCGATGCAAAGTTTAAAAGGCGAAACTGAAGATATTATGGTTCGGTTGACCGTTGATCGTTGCGTTGGATGTTTGCGCAGACCAAGAAGAGTGATGGAGGTGGGAGGAAGAGGAACCACCTCCGCATTAAACGACGATGGGAGCCTAGGCTTGGTGGTGACGTCACCACGTCCAATGACGCAACTTTGCCTGGTTGGTGCTTTCTCGGGCCGAGGACAGCCCCAAAAGGTCAGGCAGTCGCTGAAACACTAACCAAATTTGATTTGAGAAGAGGAGAAATCCAGGTTGGTCATGCTGCGTGACCAGTGCTGAAACATGCGCATGTTCGGTTTCGAGGCTCGCATCAGAAGTTCGCGATCTGCCAGGATGAATCCTCCCACACACATGCGCCATCGCGCCGGGCCACTGTTCGAATGCACGCTACGCGACAAGAAGCATCGTCTCCAACACCATATCGAATTATTATGCGACTACCATGCCAGGTCATCCAAGCCACAGCGCTACACATTGACAAGAAATACTAACACAAGGGGTATCCAATGAGATCCAACGCTAATATCCTTCCAAATATCCGACATATTACACCTTTCGCAGCCAATAAATGACAAAACATCCAAAAAGCCATATTAATCCAACAGACATTTATTTGACAACGGTGACGTGCGGTTGTTGGTTTGCTTCGACCTCGTGGGCGTACACCGGCAATGATGGAGCGGGTGATTGGACTGGAGACGGGGTGAATTGCTGGGGCTGTTGGTATCCTCCCGCGAACTGCTGCTGCTGAGGCTGCTGATACCCTCCCACAAACTGTTGCGGTTGAGGCTGTTGATTTCCTTGGGGATATTGCTGCTGTTGGGGTTGCTGGTACCCATTGGGATACTGCTGGGGTTGTTGCTGGTACCCTGCTGGGTATTGCGGCGGGGCATAGCCAGGCTGATACGGTTGCTGGTATGCCACCTGAGGATATCCAGGCTGTGGCTGATACGGCTGTGTAGGAGCGTGCGTGCCGTCGGCCGGGATGGCAGCTGGGTCAGACCAGACCGGGCTATGAAGGATCAAGTACAGCAGGGCGAGAACGGCAGTCGAAACCCACGGATCAAACAGGGGGAAGAGAATTCGCTGCGCGACGGCTTCATCATATTCCCAATCATCGGTGACGTGTTTGATGCTGATGGCGAGGCTGTATGTGCAGCGGAAAGCCCACAGCAGGGAAGAAATCAACAATAAAACGGGCATCTGCAGCTATCAGTTAGCATCGGGGGCACCGTTCAGAAAGGCAGATCTACGCACCTTGCCAATGGGAAGCTGGTCTCCCCTCTTCTTCAACTTCGAAAATGCAGAAATGGCGATTCCCACAACGGTAAGCGACAACAGAAAGATGGTCACATCAATGACTATCAAGAGCCACTCAAGCCTCCATCGATACGATGAGCGGCCCCCGGTTCGGAGAACGTCGGAAAGATTCTTGGCCCAATAGGCAATGAGAAGGACAAACAACAAGCCGGTTCCAAGAAGAGAATCGAGCCGCAGCCACGACCACCATTTTTGCCTGCCTAGCGCGACATATAAAGCGGCAAGCGCAGCGATGTAAATGGAAGTGGTGATGAGAATGCTGGCTCCTATCTGAAACAGACCGGCCATCAGCGAGAGGACGTAGTATGTGCGGATCGACGATATCGTTCGCGACGCTGCGACGCTGGCGTATGCTGTGTACAATACAAGACCGCTGTGGAGAAAGGCGACTGTCAGCGATACGATATAACGAACAGTGGGAGAGGGCTTGACCTACATCAGAAAGACGGGCAGCGCGATATGGAACATAGTATTCGCGATTTTAACAGCTTGAGAATGGCGCGAGACGGTGCGCAGGCTCAGTACCCATACGACGGTCGCCGGTATGATGGTGATGCCAACGAGCCCCGCAGTGACTGCGATGCCCTGTTCCGATTCTAGAAAACCCATGGTGTCGTTGTGCGCCAGCCGCCGATATGTCTTTTTTCGTGTCTTCGATATCGCCAAGTCCAAACAAAGAGACGTCAAAATAGTTGCTTCGCTAGAACTCGAAAGGCGGGGAGAAGGGAGCGTCAGGGTCCTTTTTAGGTTGGAGCACCTGCCGCAAATGATCTTGTGTCGAACCCCTGTCCATCCCATGCGCGTGTTCGGGAAAAGGAGGCTGAGCTATCGTCGTTGGCCAATACAAAATCCACTTTTGCGCCTCTGCACTGCCGCTCGTGGTTCGTGCGTTTCGCTGTGCTGGCCGTCACACCATGGGAAACACACACTGAATGGCAGATCCAAAACTGATGGCCAATCATTTGCGCCACTATTGGTTCTGTGTAGTGCGAGACCAAAGAACCAACACCAGAAGAAAGCCTGAAATAGACACCTGGCAATGTAACCTTGCCAAGGCTTCGGCACGACATACACAACGCTGCTTCCTATGATTGATGATGCTCAAAAAGTGAACATACGAACATCAAGCAGATCGCAGATATCCGTCTGCAGATGCTTCTGAACGGCATCTTTTTGCCGACAGCTAAACGGATGAACAGAAGCTAGCACAAGGACCGCGCATGGAAGCGACGGGAATAACTAGGGGCCGACGCCATTTGTAATTAGACTATAATCCTTCAACAACATACCCACCCAAGCGCAACGACCGAGGAGGGTTTGAAAGTACAGAACAAAACATCGCCCCTGTTCCTCTATCGCCCGTAATAGCTCGCACCAAGATTGCAAAGGCTATGATATTCATATCCCCTGTCGACATGACCCATCATCCAAGGTAATACCGGCCCAACATCATCCCGAGTCGTCCCAGATCGATTAGCTCCAATCCCTATCTTCAAATTCAAGACTTAATCATCGCTAGCCAACCTCGAAAACC